TGTTTGTTATTCATCATTCTTCCATTTTTCCTCCAGTTATTAAAGTTATAGATTTATTTGCTTACATATTCTCTCTGTTCCACCTTATCAAACAACCAACCAATTATAAACCAACCTTCAAGTCAACAAAGCAACCAATCACTATTTGTTCATACCACTACCAATACAACAACAAATGAGACAAACAGAAAATTTGAAACTAAAAAAATAAACTGCAAATGACTGCAGTGCTTATGTGTATACCGCTGTCCACTCTCGCTGAGAGCAGCCATGTTTCCCCGTTACTCCATATCTCGTATATATTCAAGTACACATCTGTCGAAGATATGAATCAAAACTTGCAGATATTAAGAAACGGGAAAAAATGGCCACCATCTTGAGTTAAGCCCAGACAACTAGTGAAACTACAAGGAACCCGCTCGATATTGTTTTAATTAATACATTTTCCCTCGACAGAAAAAGCAACAGAAGAGCATTCTCCAACCCCAGACACTACAGCTGCTGCTCCGAACATCACACGTAAGGTTTCTTATAGCTTCAGCATAAATGGAAAACTGGAACATATGGGTCATGATTTAGGGATCTGAATTCTGCGTTGGGTTTGTTGTTGGACCCAACGACCCAACACGGCGAACGTCAATATAAGAGATATGAGCTTACTTCTGATCACAGTTTTGTGCCTATGAAGGAATAGGTGCTTTTGCTTGTGCGCATGTGTACCTTTCGTTTATCATAGGTCACATGACCTTTAATTTTTCCACCGTACTCTCACCTCCTGTGTTTAATACACACCAGGATGCTTTTATATTTTCTTGCTTCCTCTTCCCTTTTTTCTTTGCTAAAGCCTTCTTTTCCTTTCTTAACTTTTGGCCACTCATTCCTAATGCTCTGCAACCTGCACTGTTGTATGATAATTTTCTCCCATATCAATAGTTAACCAGGCACCACCCAGAGTCCATGCAAAAGTATCATTTTCAAGGCCATAAGTAATATATACAATATGGGTGGCTGTCTTGTATTAGATATACAACCACAAGAGAATCCAAAAGCGAGTGATTGTATATCTGATACAACACAGACACAAATATTGTATATTACTTATGAAACTTCTAGGTGTATACATTCATGTTCTACTATAATTTTAAAGATAAAATTGTATTTGGCTAAGAAAATAGGAGTTAAAGTTTATGCAAATCAGGACGATTTTGTATCAGATATACAGCCTCCTCCACGGACTATGATTTCTATTGTATTTTCCTCATTAATTATTCATGAGTTTTATAACTATATTCGCTTTTCTGTAATTTAATTAAGTAACTTACACCAGATTGTCGATATCAGTTGTGATACTGGCAATGATCTAAGGTTTCTGGAATACAAAAGTCTGGTAAAACGCAACGGCCCAACTGTCCAACCAGCCCAACAGATTAACAAACCCAACAGATTAACAAACCCAACAGCCCAACAGCTCAACAGGCCAACAGCCCAACAAACTCAACAGCCCAACAAGCCCAAAAAACCCAGCTGTTGGGTTTGTTGGGCTGTTGGGCAGTTGGGCTTGTTGGGTTTGTTGGGTATGTTGGGCTGTTGGGCTGTTGAGTTGTTGGGGCTGTTGAGTTGTTGGGGCGGTTGGGGCTGTTGGGATGTTGGTTTGCTGGGCTTGTTTGGTTAGTTGGGTTTGTTGGGCTGTTGGGACTGCTAGGCTGTTGGGTTTGTTGGGGCTGTTGGGTTGTTAGGACTGTTGGGCTGTTGGGTTTGTTGGGGCTGTTGGGCTGTTGGTTTGTTGGACTGTTGGGTTTGTTGGGCTGTTGGGTTTGTTGGGATGTTGGGCTGTTGGGTTTGTTGGGCTGTTGGGTTTGTTGGGCTGTTGGTTCGTTGGGCTGTTGGGCTGGTTGGGTTTGTTGGGCCATTGCGTTTTACCACTTTTGTATTCCATAAATCGTACATCATTGTCAGTATCACGACTGATATCGACAATCCGGCGTAACTTATTAAATTACGCAATAGTGAATATAGTTATGTCCTTGAAAACGATACTTTTGCATGGACTCTGGGTGGCGCCTGGTTAACTATCGATATGGGAAAAAATTGTCATGCAACAATGCAGGTTGCAGAGCATTAGGAATGAGTGGCCAAAAGTTAAGAAAGGAAAAGAAGGCTTCAGCAAAGAAAAAAGGGCAGAGGAAACAAGAAAATATAAAAGTATCCTGGTGTGTATTAAACACAGGAGGTGAGAGTACGGTGGAAAATAAAGGTCATGTGACCTATGATAAACGAAAGATGCGCATGCGCACAAGCAAAAGCACCTATTCCTTCATAGGCAAAAAAGTAAGCTCATATTTCTTATTTTGATGTTTGCCGTGTTGGGTCGTTGGGTCCAACGACAAACCCAACGCAAAACACGGATCCCTAAATCGCGACTGGTATAAACTGGAATACCGATATACAGTTATAAAATGCATATATTATAGCATCGCGATTCACTAAGACTCTTATATTTTTGAGACGACAATATTTTGTGGCATATTGTCGTTTCAAAATTAAAGTTTCTGATGGGCTAACGTGCGACGAAAAGGAAAGCTTGAGCATGAGCTTGAAGCGCGCGTCAAATGTTTACTCTTGTTGCTTGCGGCATAGTGGGCGCTCGTAAGGACACATTTCGCTTTTAATCAAAAAAAATCGGTCGGTTTTTGTTTTCTTTTTCTTATGTTAATTTCTTTGGAATCGCGATACAAAACTAATTACGATTTTGAGACGACAATACCACAAATTATTATATGACCGTGAATCTTAAAGCCTGGACACTAGCAAATCGCGCGATCTGATTGGATAGTTCGCATCGCGGACTAGTCTAGATTCTCCGGTATTAACCGGTCCGATCGCATATTAATCTTAAGGCCAAAACGTTTTGTTCTTTACAATGAAAAGTGGTCATATAATAAAACTCTTATCAACCGAGCTTGGTCGGTCTGTACATTCCGACCTCGGTCAAGATTATTCCGTACAGACCTCCTGCTCGGTTGATAAGATCTAAATATTGACGGCGTTGGGAGAAAATATATTCGGCATTGGGCGGAGTCGGAAAAAATACAG